TTGGATGTGACTATTAAGCGTGAGAAAACGCAATTGGTGTTCCGTAAGTATGAAAAATTGTGTAATACAGAAAAAACAATTAGTTATAAATCTTATTGCCCTATAGAAACTAAGAGAAACGTTTTTACCATGGAATTGAGGAAAATACTAAACAGAACAACACTCTATGAAGATATAAATAAAGAAATTAAACAATTATTTAGAAAATATTTATTGAATGATTACCCGAAGAATAAAATTTGTAAGTGGTATAATTCTTTTATAAATTACAGATATAATGTTAAAAATTGTATAGATAATAACATTTATGTAAAAATGCCTTATATATATAGTTTTTATGAACGATATAAACCTTTATTTAAAAAGTCTTCTGTATGTGTAGTGGCCAAGCAGGAAAATAAAATGTCGAATGTTATTAATATTATAAATACTAAAGGTCGAAAAACAGTAAGAAATCAGCTTGACGTCGCAGGAGTGGTCTACAAGGTATCATGTGATTGTTTACAAGCGAAATCATATGTTGGAGAAACGGGACGGAAGCTCGAGATACGCCTAAAAGAACACGAGGCAGCGATTCGTCTAAAAAGACAAGAGTCACCATGGTATCAACATTGTGTTAATTATAATTGTAAAATTAATAGAGACTCTGTAAGAATATTGTATAAAATGGAAAATTTGTTTAAAAGACGTGTGGTAGAACATCTTTGTATAATAGAACATGCAAATTTGTTGAATCAGAATGTCGGTCTTAACGTTGATGCATGCTGGGAAAAATTTATTTGTATAAAAGGAAACAAGTGTCTGGTTGTTGGATAATCCACTGAAGAGGCTGTAACGGCGAAATGCATTTGGAAAGTGATTTGAAAACTATGAAAATAAAAGAATTAACATTAGTTAAAGTAAAGTATCTTTGTTGATTATTATTTGTCCGCTAATATAAATCACTCGAAGTCGGTCTAAGAAAGAGTGTTTTAATTTACTCGTCTATCTTTTAGAAATTATATTTTTAGTATTCTTACCGATCCCATTGTTTTATATTTTTATATTTTTTCAACAATTATAGTGTATTTATCACGTCTCCGCAATTAACAGAGACCGAGATTAATTTAAAACAGTTCACTTTATTTCGCCTATTTAACAATGCATTTCGGATTGGTAATTATTAGTGATGTAACGAATATTCGGTTACTATTCGGTATTCGGCCTATTTTTCAATATTCGGCCGAATACCGAATATTTAATCACTATTCGGCAATAACAAAAACACAGTAAATTAATCATTTTGGTATTTAGATTTAATGTTATCGAGTTAGTGTTGTTTGTTTATATTTATTTATAACTTGTAACATGCAAAAATAAAAAAGAAAATAATATTAGTCACATGTATTCACAATTTATAATTACAAAGATCAGCACACGTAAACGTCTATCGTTGGAGAATCCTCGCACATCTGAGGGTCTGACCCTGCCTATCCTTCTTTTTAAGCGCTCGTCTGCTCTTCCCTTTCTCTTTCCTCTATCGCTCTAATCCATGCATGCCTGTGCATACATCATAATACGCGCTCACGATACTTTCGATTCGTCACTTTTCCGTCGTAGAGTTCCTATTTTACAATTACGTGACTCAGCCTGGTTATAATGGAGAAAAGAGACAGATAGGACGTCGATATAAGTCACAGTTATGATTTCACAGATTAGAGACAGCTTGATAGCCCGAACGGCCCCAGGCTTTCGCCCGTGCACGCTAAGTGACTTTCATTACAAGCATTTAACTTTCCGAAGTCTATGACAACAATTGTTTGGCATTGACGGCCGCGAATTTCGTGCCAATAAGCTGCCTCGACTTGTTCGATTATGTTATCAACTCAATTTCATATTTATTTTCACATTTCACTTCGCGGTCCTTCTCTGTTCTTTTTCCGTTATTTACACGTGTAGGTCATTTCATTGTTATCCACATTTGATATCATCATTTATCACATACTTCCATGACACTCTCGTCTGTCCGCTACAACTGTCAAGAATTAACGCGATTGGCGAAGCGTAGTGACAGCGGGCCAATAGAGAGCATGATCCTTGTCATAATGCGGTTTGCGCGCCAATTTTCGTACGTGCGTTAATCGAGCCGAATAGTTTGGCCGAATATTCGGCTATTCGGCCACGCTCCTGGCTGAATATTCGGTATTCGGCCTGAGGCCGAATATACTATTCGTTACAACACTAGTAATTATCCATCCCTCTTCGGACTCACCGCTTCAGTGTTTATGGTTGTTGTCTACAACATAACGAACAAAAGGTAAGTTCATGTTACTATACAGTACTTTTGTTATCCAAAATGATGGATATAGTGCACAATTTGTACACATCCTAATGGTGCAGTTTCTACATAGCAGTCTCTTGCACTTACTGGCATGTTTTCTTTGTCTATTTTTGATGAGCAAATGCAACACTTCTTCCATTTTCCACAATTATTATCTCCTTATTACCTCTTAGAAGGATTTTAACTTCAACAATGTGGTACATAACATGACAAAAGTCAAAATGTAGTTTTTCACTGTAAACATTTTCACAAGTCGAAACCAAAATCTTCACAAACTATAATAAAAACACGAAAACACTATTTATATTCTGCAAAAGAAAAAAACACTACGAAAAAAATCAACAACGTACCGACTATGGTACGGTTCAGATTGTTTATAGTGTAGGTCTACTGAGATCAAACAATGATATTGCCGAGAGTAAAGCCCCTCAAGACATGACTCGTACTTAAATTATAAAAAATATTGTTATATTGAGGATTAAGTACTACACTCTCCAGTTTAAACTTTATAATAATTAATTTAAAATGTAGAAAATAGCTATATTCGAGATGAAACAATCTAAATTTCTAATTGTCTAAATCTCAAATCTTGGGACAAACAAAACAAACTAAATTTAGATAAAAAAAAAATAGATTTAAAAGTGATATTCCTGCCCAACACGTGGAATAGACTTTAATGTTTTGAATTAAAGTAAGATGGCGGTCAATAGTACCCGTCGTTGCCACCAAGAGCGCTGTAACTATGGTCACAGTCACTCCATGTAGTATATTCTAGCTCGTTGAGGAACACGTATTTTCGTTCTTATTTATTCGTTCCTGTTAATTATGAAGTAATCCTAATAACAAAAGTTTTATTTGCTAATAGTGAGCGTCGTAGTCGAACCAATTTGATTTTTACTTCCATACAGTGCAGTAATTCACGCTTCTCTGTGGCGACGTGGCGACGACTCATCATCTCCAAGTCACTTTCTCCCGTTCGCTCGCGTCGGTTTAGTCGTACTGTAGTTAATGACAACGAGAAACGTCATCACCTCTTCTCGTCACATATTCTCGCTCGCTTGCGTGTGCACAGTAGTACCCTTAGTGTATCGCTCTGGGGATCCGGAAATGAATCCAGATGGGTCGAAAAACCTATGAAATACGCCGGATGGGCGAGCAATTAAGGTGGCAACATACAGCTCTGGGGTCCCGAAATCGAATCCGGACGGATTAAAAAAACACAAGGATTTTTCGAAGGTAGTACTGTACGTCCTTCACCATCCGTCCGCCACACTGTGGGTCTGGCAGAATCGATAAAGGAACTTGTTAAAAAAACCTTCATTCATGCGTAAACACCCTTTATATCTTCAAAGTATGACATGCATAGAGCGGTAGAAGATATTTTCGGTTATGTTAATTGATTGCATGAAGAATTTTTGCATTAAGAGTTTCATTATTTTATTACAGAACGAAGCAGTGGAGTAACGTGGGTGTCAGTTGCCCGGGGCGGAGGAAAATTTCGCCGCCCTCTTATTTAGGTATCTCAATTTAAAAGACTAAAATCCAGTTTCGTCACAGAATAAGTAATGAAAAATTCCGTGCTCATTTCAATCGGTCCGATCGTAGGTGCGACAAAAATATGAAATGAAATGGTTCAAATTTTTATAAGATATTATTATTAGTTATTGTGAAATTTTTCCGCCCCCACTACGCTACGCCACTGGAACGAAGCTCACTTGCGTGATGTCATCTTCAAAATATAAATGGCAAATTATGTTGTTTGAAATCTTGTACATGATAATTTGTCAATAATCGAAAAGTTGATTGTCTATTTATATTCCTCTCAGATCCTGTATTTACTATAAGGAAAACATCCCATAAATTTTGAGTATGGTTCGTTCTGGATACGTCAAACCTGTCCCTCATCATTCTGGGGTATTGTGGGTTCGGTCAAACCTTGAATGAGATCTTAGTGTCCACAGGGAGAAAATAATTTTTTTTTAAAGTAGTTCTTTTATTGAGAATATAAGGGCGCGTTCGATAATTCTCCGCTAGATCCACTAATTTGTTCTATAATGCTGGCAGATAATGTCTTCGTGGATGTACTTTTTCCACGTATTTTAAGAAGATATTAGAAACAGTGGGAGGGTAGAGGACACGAACTTTGAAGTTTGACATAAATAACGGTTTCTGCAAAATGCATTACGACTTTGCTGCAATATTGACTGCTTTCACATATTAGACGTGGGTTAATTTATCCAAAACGTCTAAATTACACTGAGCAGAAAGAAATAATTATTAATTAATCGCTAATTACTACCGAGAAACATTAAAGATACACAAACAGTTTTAGCCTAATTTATAGCCCATCTTAGAGTGCATTTGTAAATGAAAGATAAAAACGTTTGTGCATCTTTAAGTAAATGCAGTCATAAGGTGATCAGTGATTAATTAATAATTATTTATCCTAAACTATAGATATGATTGCTAATACAGAATTGTGATGACTACTTTGTAAAACACTAAAGAAGTATCTGCTTACGAAGACTGCATAGAACACATTTTGTGTAACAAGTCGTCGCAGTTTCTACGTAAAGAGCATACAGAAGAGATGCTAGTTTACACAATTCATTATTGCGTTCTATTGAGAATGTGCCAATACGCAAAACAAAAAAACATCCAGTAACGATGGTAATAACGAGTAAAATCTTCATTACGTCCGACCCCACTGAGATACGACAGGTAACCCCCTTGACCTTTAACCACCAAAATTTAATAGCATCAATGTCCCTTATGCATGGGCGTAGCCAGAGTTTTGTTATGGGGGGCCTAGTGGAGGCCAACCTGACACAAAATTGAATTATTTCAAATTATTGTTCATTATTGGGCACCGAGCAAGCCGTTCACCCTTTTTTAGTATTCAAAACTTTTATTTTAGCTTCAGGTTTTTACAAATCGACTCAACACTTTTTCGGCTGTGATTTCCTGGGGGGGCACCAGGTTCTCTGGGAGGGGCCGTGCCCCCCAGGCTCCCCCCTAGCTACGCCCATGCCCTTATGCACAAGACACCATGCCAAATTTCGTTTTTTAATCATTACCCTATTCAGAGATATTAAACAAAATAGACACCAGCACGCACGCAACCACTAAATTCCCCCCTTTTTACTTTTCTTTGGGTTCAGAGAATCTCCTGAATCCCCCAAAAAAGCCATCGAGATTTACAAAAAAGAAAACGGGGAGTCAAATTCGATACTATTCCAATACTTTCCCGTGTTACGTACGGTACATAACAAGTCGGAAAAGTAAAAAGACCAATCATTTATAATTTGCTGCAACTGATGTTATATCAATTGCAGCAATTTATAAATGAATTGAGAAAAATTACTATAATAACGTCTTTTACAATAAATAAAAATATTAATAAAAATTATTTAAAACGATGGAGTCGTTTTTGATTTCATTCACTTAATTGTATTATAAAAAATATACGGAAATACAAAAATATTAATATCGTCTGCGTGGTGTTAAACTAAAATACAAAATTGATAATACAGTCGACCCCCCCCATAACACGGTAGATACGTTTCGTTTTTTATGCAATTGATGTTTTAGGACAGGGGTCGGCACTTTGTCAAGTGAGAAGAGCCAAATTGTCATGAAAACAGGATAACAAAAGTACCAGAGAGCCGCATATTAATTTAAATGTGCGAAATACGACACACGACAGGGGCGCCTGTAGCGGACGTTTTTGGCATAACGTTACACGGATGGACGGACACGCGTTCAATGTGTGATATATATAGATATGCTTCAAATGCTACCACTCTTATGCGACACATATTGATCAACGCGAGTGTGGTCATGTGCGGACAGCGTACGGGTCGAAGTTTGTTCGGCGGCTTTATCTCATAACATAAACTCATAAGTTATAAGGCTGCGGTGAAATGAGGTGAGGTGAAATTGGAGTTTGTCCGAAGAGCCGCAAACGTCTATGCAAAGAGCCACATGCGGCTCGCGAGCCGCTAATTCCGACCTTTGTTTTAGGAGCCTTGCCAATCACAGCCCGCAACGTGTGAAGTTTACGGACTACGGCTGTTTGAAAAGTTTTCATTTCATAAAATTAATCGATTCTAGACTAATTCGACTCAACATTTCCAAAATACGTATATTTTTGGGGGAATAATCCGTATAAACTATGCTATAAACAAAAACTTGTAGGATTACTTATCGAGTGTGCACCGTTCGACAACGCCATTGCTCAAGCTTGTTTTCGTCGCGGAGCAGCGACCCAAACCGCGGCCGCATTTTCTGATAAGTTATTTTTCTGCGAAAACTTCGTTGAACTTTGGAGACATCATTAATAGAAGTAATTTTTATGGCCGTTGAATAAAAAATGTTTTTTTCACAAGAAATGTATAAAATTACAGTACTGTATTAGACTTACGGTACTAATTTACATACTGTACAGACGATAGTAAACGACTTACTTTAGAAAGTCCTCCCTGGAAATCATCCACGTCTTGCCTTGCAGTTTACAAAGAAAATCAAACTTAGAGGGTGTCCGTACGACGAGAAAAATTTTAAAAATATAACTAATCCGTAATAAATAAATGGATTTTATTTTATTAATCATATTTCCTAAATTTTGATTTTATTGAATCTAAATTTCTTTTAAGCACAAAATAATTTACAATATAACTATTTTATGTTTACAGTGTGTGAAACTGGCAACGGTAAATATACATAACCACGTGGTCTAAGGATCAATAGCAATAGATAAGAATACCCAATTACACGTTAGAATCTTTCGAGCACGTGTATATTAAAATTATATTTATATATGTATTATATATACTGTAATTATATACAATAACTAAAATTGTTAATTGTATTGTAAATGTCTCAGTCAATTGTAAATACCGGGTGAGTTTCTTTGAATTTCGTGGCGTATTAATTCCCTTCAATTAATAATTAAAATTATTATGCTGAGTTACACGGTCCTTTAGTTTATAAATGTGCTGCTAAGATTAAATATTTTTGATTTTGATTTTAAATTTTCATGTTAACTTTATAAATTTGATGTTTTTCCCACTAGTAAATTTAAATGCCCTGAAGGTTTTAAAGAGATTAATTTTGAAATTAAAGACGAATTATGCGAAGAAGATGTCAAAAATGAAGATAATGAACTCTGGCTAATTCAAACACCTATTGAGGCCTTCTAACACTTTTAAACATATCATATCATATTGAGGTAAATAGAAATATAGTTTTTAAAACATTTCCAATAGTCAGATCTTTAGCAATACATTGGCAACTGGGCAACTGCTGAGGTATAAGGCATGAGGTGCATGTGCCTGCATGTGCCACTCACACCTTGCAAATATTTTTGCATTGTGTAGTAAGAAACTGAAAATATCAGGCATGCTTTGTCGTAATTTGTGCCACTCCATTATGTTGCTGTGATTTTCCATCAGTATATAGTGATTCCTTTTAAACCAATAATTAAAATGTTGCTGACATACAAAAGTTCTAAACACCAAGAATCATTTTTCAGCAGTTCATAAAACGTGTCCTGCTGTTGTTCTTTAAAAACTTTTGGTTGTTTGAGTTTGAGAATTTGGTTCAGGGCCATGCTGTGCTATGATGCAGAGAGGTGGCCGCATCAGCAGCATTAAAGGGGTGGCACAAGTGGCATTTCAAAGACTTGCATCATACTGAGAAAATCTACTGCACGACCCTGATTTGGTTCAACACATGATCTCAAGATAATCATCTTACATTTGTGTGCAATATTAGTAAGATATGAGCTGTATGCATTTCCTAACATTTTATCAAAATGTTTACAATTCAAAAGTCAGGATTTGATGAAATTTACCATTTTGATCACCTTCCAACATATCAAAAACATTTTCGAGGGCTGTAATAAGATCCTAAAAAAAAGACATCAGTTTGGCACCATCTTTAACCAACAAAATATCTCATAGTATCCATCATGACATTAATAAACAACATAATAACAAACCTAACATTCTAAAATCTGTAGGAACTGTTTACAAACTTGAATGCAACTGTCAAAATCCGAAAACTTACATCGGTGAAACAGGCTGGTTACTAGAAACCAGAATTAAAGAACATGAAGCTGCCATCCACCTTAAACATAACACTTCCCCCTGGTACTACCACACAAGTGACAATAATTGCCAAATTAATAAAAACAATAAAAATGTGTTACATTTAGAAAAAGACCGATATAAAAGGAAATTTAAAGAACACACAGAAATCAAAAAACACCCTAAAGATAACTTAATTAATATTTCAGAAGGCATGTCAATAGACCACCCCCAATGGTATAAACTAATAGAGAGCACCTCCATGCGTTAAATATTGTTTAAAGCACACCTTCTTGTACGGAATGTTAGGAATGGTTTAAATAACATCACTTGTCGGTATACTGTTACTCGGTGAACACTGGATAACACCCTTTGTCAATTTGTACTCTGTTCCATTTTTTATCAGGAATAATACATTTTAACTAAAAATGTAGGTGTTTATAAATACTGTATTTTGAAATTAATAATCTATGTTATATATATTCTTCATGTAAATGATGTGTTAAACAACAACGCCCTTTACTTTTTTTATATTATAGGAAATAGTCATACAACCATGTAATAAAAATATTGTCGCACATGTCTATATTGTACCATTATATAACATGTAAGGTTTTTATGTTATTGTCAACCTGCGTTTATGTTAAATTCTACTTACCAATGTTGTGAAACTCACCTTGTTTTATGTAATTTTAACAGCACTAAAGAGGGGTTGGGAATACAAGCCAACCCAAAATGCATCTGAATTTTTAAAAAAGTGTTCTTTTAAATAAACCGTAACGTTTTTCTAACTAATTGCTGTTTGATCGTCTACCAAAATTATCGTTTAGATTACAAAGATGCTACACACAGAATAGAAAAGTTTAGTTGATTGATTGGTGAAGTGTCAGCAGTTTTATGTTTTTGGTATGACATGATGGATATAAGTTAGTGATGCCCAAACTTTTTGATTGGGAGGCCAAATTGTGCATAAGTTATAGTTAGGCAGGCCACAAATATTTTTTATTTTCCATTTATACAAACAGTAGGCTTATTTCTATCATTTATAAGTGATCTGTTGAGTAGGTTTGTGGATTGAATTTGGACTGAGGGCCATAGTTTGGGCACCACTGATATAAGTTTTCAGTTACTAGCAATATCATAGAATAGTTCTGTTGCAATGACTCTCCTAATAATGGACTTAATTACTTGAAAGTGATAGAGAAACAGTTAATTTAAATTTAAATGAATGCATGCCAAGGAAAAAGAATTTGGGTTTTATTAGAAAAATTGAGTTAATCGTTAATTTTATTTATTATATTTAATTGTTATGTATTTTATTTCAGATGGATATTTCATCATTAGAGAATAAAAGAATCTCTTTGAATAAGAGAACAGTTTTTAAAGGTGAAAACAGTTTACAAGATGGAAAAAATCATGAGATATCAGCCACAGAAATTATACCTGAAAATGTAAATTGTATTTAATAGTATTTGTGTGTTTTGTAAAACTGTTTTGAATTATTTAAAGAATTATTTATTAATAATTTGGTTAATGTTTTTTATTTGTTCTTTCAGCTTTTAAATTATCAATTAATTCTTCCGTCTAAGGAACATAACAAATTAAAACCAGGTAATATATAAATATATCTGAAAGATTATTATATTTATAAAATGCAGGGTGTTCCAAAATTGTCTTTACAACTTTGTAAGAGAATTTATTCAAAGGATTACACAATATTTTTAAATGCATAAATTTAGTAACACTCATCAAGTTTCATTTACGTAAATTTTTGCACTGAAACTTCCACTATAGTATGATTAATTAATCAATTCCAGAACTGTGGATTCGTCGGAGCGCACTAATAACACGGCCACCTCATTCCCCAGATGTAACACTTTTAGATGTTTTCTTGTGAGAATTTGTTAAAAATTGAGTGTACATGCCACCCTCACCTATAAATGTGGTTGAATTCTGAATTCAAAATACTATTGCAATTGCTCAATGACACTTGAGAGAAACATTATGTGGGAAGAAATTCACTGTAGATCGGACATCCACCACATAAGAAATGAAAGTGATGTTGAACCATAAAAAGTCAATGAATGTAAAACTCAGTGTTTGACTACATTTCAATGTTCTAAAATTATACTGTATGTTTCTTCTATCTTTTCATCAATATATATATAATATAACCCTATAATCATGAAGCTGTTTTTGAAACACCCTATATTTAGTTATTTTTACTATATAATGCATTTTTTTCATTATAGTGCCAGTATCTTTTAGGGGTTATTTGGAAGTAGTTGAGACTTTGGATTTGCCAAATGAATTGAATATTAAAAATGTTAATAAAGATATAGCCAATTTTGAAAATTTAAGACAACGATTTCTGCCGTTTGGTTCAAGTAAGTTATTTTTTTAAGATTTTAATAAATTAACACTTTAAAAATAAGAATTTTCTAATATACAAAGTCCAATCATTTAATCTGTACAATAATGCTAGATTTTTCCTTATTGATTTTTGTCTTTTGAGAACTTATCATACTTGAAATACTCTACTCTCAGTGTTCTTCCCAGGTCCTTTTCACTCGATCATCCCATCTGACTAATTTTTATTGCTGCCCTACTTCAGAAGAAATATATACCTATATACAAAAGGTGTGACTTATATTTCTCAAGTGAAGCTCAATCCCAATTTTTAATGCATAAACGTTTACCAGAACATGCAGAATTTAAACAAATAGTGTNTTAAGAATTATTTAGAAGTAGTTGAGACTTTGGATTTGCCAAATGAATTCAATGTTAAAAATGTTAATAAAGATATAGCCAATTTTGAAAATTTAAGACAACGATTTCTGCCGTTTGGTTCAAGTAAGTTATTTTTTTAAGATTTTAATAAATTAACACTTTAAAAATAAGAATTTTCTAATATACAAAGTTTAATCGTTTAATCTGTATGATAATACTAGATTTTTCTTTATTGATTTTTGTCTTTTGAGAACTTATCATACTTGAAATACTCTACTCTCAGTGTTCTTCCCAGGTCCTTTTCACTCGATCATCCCATCTGACTAATTTTTATTGCTGCCCTACTTCAGAAGAAATATATACCTATATACAAAAGGTGTGACTTATATTTCTCAAGTGAAGCTCAATCCCAATTTTTAATGCATAAACGTTTACCAGAACATGCAGAATTTAAACAAATAGTGTATTCTTTTCAATAGATCAATTAATACCTCTATGTGAACATATCTAAAATTATTGTATCATATCTCTGTGAATATCTTTAAAATATTTTAACCCAATTATAGAAAGTGAATATGTTTAAAAAAACAATAAATATATGGACTTTTGATGTTGTGACATATAATTTTTCTTTTGAAATGCATTTTGAAATTTCTGTAATATTTCTCAAATTTGTACTGTTTATTCTGTTTGAAATATTATTTAACTGATGAAACCTTAAATAAAGTAGGCAAAAATGCTATTTTAACATAAAAATATTATACTATTCTGTTTATGCACCAAGTTTAAAAAAGATGTGTTCACATAGACATGTTCAATGTTTTTTTTTTATAAAAAATTAATACAAGTCTGTAAGTAAACAATGGGGGAAAGTCAAATTAGATTAATTTATATAGTTTTTTTTTTTAAACAAAAAAGCGGACAAAATAATGATAATTCCAAAACAGCTGGACGACCAATTTCAGACTGGGACACCAAAGCTATCGTCAATAACCTTGTTCAAGATAAAATAAAGTTATTAACACGAGGGATCTTCCTGACAGTTTTTATTTATCACACAACAAGAAAACATTTTTGGAGAGAACACTACCTCTACACATTGTCATTGCTAGATGCATGTGTCATATGTTTTCTAGAATCCATTTTTAGACAAAAGTCAGAGAGTATTATGACTGTGTATCTCATCAAATGTGAAATAATTTACTTTCAGAGCTTCCTTGCAGTCATTTTAAATAGAAATACAGCATGTCCACAAAGTCTTATGTTGAGTTTTAGAAAAAAGTTTGATCCTCCACAAAACTGGGCAATAATATACAGGTAAAAACTCTGTAACCTTGAAATTTTCCCAGCAGAGTGATGAAAATGCAGAAAAACAAATGCTTTCAGTCTATGTCTAAGACCTGCTTTAGGTTACAACTTTTGCAGAAATGAAATGCCTGTATAATTGGCTAATATGAGGGCCTCAGCTCTAATTATAACATTGGCTGCACAATATTGGCAGTATGTGGTTAAACATTGATATGATAGAAACTACTTCACACTAGTGAGTTATGTTTATGTAAATACAGCAATGCTTTATTCTGAGAATCTCAGCATATTCTTCATTATTTAAAGTTGTTCCTTGGGACCCAAAAATTGCAAAGACATAATCTGTGCTTTGAGGAATACAAATGGCAATTTATGATTTTTTTCTTTTTTCAATCTCCAGATTAGATGATGTGAAAAAGTGGCAACTTTACTCATATCTAAATTATAATTTCTTAATTCTTCAGTCCAAAACCTGAAATTAACGGTGTTTTCTTCATTTCTTGTGTTATGGTATCCTGGGCACTAGAATAACACTTGTTTAAATTGGTCAAGGCAAGCCTTGTTTTTACTATAAATATTTTTTAATGACGTGAAAAAAATCTCAATAAATAATATGCAACTACTAACTAGTTTTAGTTTATTTATTGTACAGAGATATAATAAGTTTTTCATTAACAATATTTTGTTGTTGAATTGAATTTAAAAACTATATTGGCTAAAAAAGTGTTCTGTTAGTTCATATTTTTAGCTAGGAATCAAGATTATAAGTATAAATATAAATAATATATATTATAAAGGAGCCTGAAATTTAAATATGGTAAAGGCTTCATTTATCTTAGCTTTAGGCTTTATGTTCTTAAATCAGTGTGTATTATAGTTATTTATCTAGTTCCAATATCATTATCATCATTGCTTTCTATGAAAGTTAATTTTTATTTTTGCATTAGCAATAGATTAAATTTTTATATTATGATCATCATTTTTAGACTTAATTGATTATAAATAAATTGTATTTTAATATATGCATCTATTTGCAGATGATGCATTGTCATTATTTATTAAGAATGAAAATGTTAAGAAGAAAAAAAAACGCTACCATTAAATTCCCCCTTTTTACTTTTCTTTGTGTTGAGGGAATCTCCTGAATCCCCCAAAAAAGCCATCGAGATTTACAAAAAAGAAAACGGGGAGTCAAATTCGAACCTGTTCCAATACTTTCCCGTGTTACTTACTGTACATAACAAGTCGGAAAAGTAAAAGACCAAACATTTATAATTTGCTGCAACTGATGTTATATCAATTGTAGCAATTTGTAAAGGAATTGAGAAAAATTACTATAATAACGTCTTCTTTTACAATAAATAAAAATATTAATAAAAATTATTTAAAACGATGGAGTCGTTTTTGATTTCACTCACTCAATCTATATATATAAAAATGAATGTATGTCTGTGTGTGTGTCTGTCTGTCCTTCATGCATTACCACGCCGTTTATCCGATTGCCATGAAACTTTGGGAAGTTGTTTAATATACTCTCGCGCAGGTTTGTGGCATAGTACGATTGCCATAAAACTTAGGAAAGTTTTTTAATACACTCCCGCGAAGGTTTCTGGCATAGTACATTTAACCCACGATAGATGGCGCGCGTTTATACGAGTGTATCGAGACAGTGTGTTCGATCGATTTCAAATTGTGAAGACCATTTCCCCCTATTTCAAAAAATATCTCTATATATGCATTTGTGAACTGTTATTTACGATATTTGTAATAATTTTTGTTTAATCACTTTATTTTAACTTTTTTTGCTAATTATGTATTCGCTCGAACTTTGTTAAAACCTTAACTGTATCCCGAACAACAACCGAAGTCGTAGGAGGAAATTCGCCTATTTTACCGATCTAGGAATCCCCCTTTTCCAAATTTTAATATCGACTCAAAACAATTTAAAAAGACAAATTACAATAAAACGGTTTATTACCCAACTATCAGAAATTTCAAAACATGCCAAGGAAGAGAGGAAGAAGCAATTAAATAATTAAAATTATAAAGGATAAAAATATATATATAAATGGGGAATATCGCACTTCTGACAATCGCTGCGAGTGTATGTGCTAAATTTGGAGAATCCGTGCTTCTCGCGTGGACAACTGTATGTGGCCTGCTCACGCGTCGGAAAACCTGATTTATTCGTGTACGCACCAGACGGAAAAACAAAAACTATCGTGTATCCACAAGCGCTCCAATAAATAAATAGAATTGAAACGACACTTTGAAATGTTTTACCGATGAAAATGAATAATAATAATAAGTTTCAATAAAAATGATAAAATGTAAATTGAATTTTATCATAACGAGTTTGCTTAAATTTCCTTTCTTCTGAGATCGCAGCAATGCGCGACAGGTAAGCTAGTTGTATTATAAAAAATATACGGAAATACAAAAATATGAATATCGTCTGCTGGTGTTAAACTAAAATACAAAATTGATAATACTGAGATTTTAAATTTTATTATTATTATTTTAGTTCTATCGAAATAGTGTAATTCATTTCGATTTTGTTATGCGAATTTAATGAATAACGCATCACATCGTTATTTTCGGTTTTATGCATCCCGGGCACAACACATCCGTTCAGTCTGTAAAAAGATTTTTTCCACTAGCGATGCTTTGCACACGGCACACAAGAAGCAATCGTTATGCCAATTTCGGCCTTCGAAAGATGCATAGCGCGTTTCACTAATGCCTATAAATATATTGCAGCCGCAGCATCTTTTTTGCAAACAAATTTCCGAAGCCTTCGACACAATACAGTTTATCGTCTTTGTTGCCATAAATAACATCGTCGGTGGTAACAATTTGATGGCACTCGAAGCAAGGTAAACTGAACTTTTGTTGGTAACAATTATTGCAATGTATGTCGTTACCTATTTGAACGAAGTCTTTGCTGCCTACGAGGTTAGAGCAGGCTTTGTGCTATTACTTGTCTCGGTACGTTAACATTTTTGTACCTAAAAATTAAATTTTAAATATATTTTTACGTCGGTTTTAAATTACGAGAATATCCAAATGTTTCTTTACCCGCTCGAAATATTTGGCCACATTTGTCGCATCTGGAAGCGAAAGCTGCGTTGCAACACGCTTCGCAGTAGATTTGGATATTTTTCCAAGCGAAGGGTCTTTCTATCAATGGAATGCGGCATTTATTGCATACAAAACATTCTTCGTGTCAATGTTTATCTTTGTAACAGAGAATCTAAAAAGAATTTTTTTATTAATTTCATAGATAGTTTAATTTTTATTTGTTAATATCTTACGTTGGAATGTATTCCTATTGTTCTTCCACATTTGTGGCAAATATTACAATACACTTCTTCGTAACAGCGAGTGAAGAATGAACGATCATCCTTTACAACAAGTTTCTGACTACTTAGAGGTTTGTCGCATTTTCAATGGCAAAAATGATTTAGTCTTTTGACATTGATTTGATGTATTCCCCAAAAATCAGCTGAAAATCCAAGAGTACGATATTAATTTTTTTATTTGTGAATTTTTAAAAAATAATCTAAAATCTGTCATCTCGTCGCAGGCCGCGCATCGAGGTCTTATTCGTTCCTCGTAATGACGTTTACAGTGACGTAGCGAGGGTGTGCAAGGGGGTGTATCATGCACCGGGCGCCAATCGCAGAGGGGCTCCCAAATGGTCTCCAAGACAAACTATATGTGTTTCTGGAGGGGGAGGGGAAGGAGGAGGGGGCGCCAATAAAGTGTCGTGCCCCGAGCGCCAGTTATGTTCGCTACGCCACTGGACGTTGACAGCAAATTATTCCCTCTAGAGCACAACAAATCAAATCCACCAATAATTCACCACATACCGAACACACGAAACTACTCGGATGGAATGGATTCTCTTCACCTAATTTCGAATTGACTACTGCTAAATCTCCACGTATCTAACGGTCCCTCCACAACCGTATCATTCTTGAATATAGAAAAATCGCTTTAATTGAAGTAAAATTTAAATATTCTTTTTTGCATCCTTACCGAAGTACGTTCCACAGCACTTTTGACATAAGCGATATTCGTTGCTGTTTTATCGCTTTCGTTAATAAAGTCTATATAAAACTGTTGATACTCCTTACAGAATTTCATAGGAAAGTCTTGATCGGGAAGTTGTATAATTAGTTGTTTTTTACGATGTTTTTCATTATGAGTTCCAGATTTAGGCACTTCTCCGGAAGGAATCCAGGCGAAGTACGATTGGATCTGAAAATACGAAAACCAATCGAGATGACAAGTGTGTAACTTCAGTTGAATTATAACTAACTCCTTCTCAAATTACGGGAGTAATCAAATAAAAACAAAATCTTTAATAACCAGTAACAGAACTTTAACGACAAATTCCGAACATTTTCGGCCTTCAAAACCTGAGGCCGAAAATGGCTTCAGGTTTTCTTTAACGAATCAGAATTCCAAAATGGAATGTTAGAACGATAATGTTCGAAACTTCAATTTTTAAAATTTCGAATATCTCACAATAGATGTCGAATTCATACGGAAGATCAACGAAATAAATAACAGATATTTTTGTGCTGCTATCAATTGTACCAACGGTTACAAAAAAGGTTGGGGAATTTTATTTCACAAATAAGTTATAATTATTAATTTTGCTCACACTATACTTTTCTATGTCGAATAAAATGTTTAATGGTTAATGTAATTTAATAAAAGTAAACGAAAAGTGTCGAACTTATTTTCAAACTGTGTCTAATTTATAAAAATTTAAATAATTAGAAATGTTTTGGATAGAAGCGTTATATGTATCAAATTATGAATTTTACAGTGGTTAATTAATATCAGTGATAAGTAAATCAGATTCCTTCTTGTGATAGTGAAATTTAAAATAAAACTTTTTCTTTGTCAAGTTTCTTCTCATTGACGAATGCCTTCTTAAGAAATGGCTTAAACTAATGCCACGCTATCATTGGAAATCAAACAATAATAATAGAATTTGTTCATCTCATTTTTAAGAAGTATGCTTCAGTTATAATAGTAATAGAAGATATTTACAACCAAATTCTGTTCCTACAATTTTTTCATTTCCTTCACATCTTCAAAAAATCCCTGCAATAAAATGTTCAAAAAGAAAACCAACATCTAAAGACCCTATTTCAAAAGCCTGTAAAGAAAAAATTCAAAGATAGAATATGAATTATCAGGCTCTCGTGATCACACATATTATTTGCCATCTCCAAAGAAGGTGCATGAAATGTTAATTTTTAACAAGATATAAATGTGAAAGGTTACAAAAGAAACCTAAATATAGCAGTCTAATAAAAGAAATTCAAATAAGATTGTCAATTCAAAAAACATTATTCAAAAGCTCGAAGAAATGCTTTCTAAATCTGATGCTATAATGATAGAAAATAACTATAATGGACTGTTTCGTGATCTATTAAAACATCAGCTTTTTGGTAATGAAGGCAATAAATATCCAGAAATAGTTAATTATTGATGAAATGGCAATTAAAAAAACAAGCTGATTGAAATGGGAAAGAAGGATATATAATAGAATATATAGGATATATTGATCTTGGTCATGGATATCTTAATGCTGATGATACTCCCATGGCAACATCATAAAAATCGTAAAATTGCGACCATGTTACATATATACATTTTTAAGATGTACCAGTACATACTGTATGAGATGAAATTAATATAGGTTAATTTTACCCGAATTTAATACTGTAGCATTATATTATTAAAATCATCTATCACAAAAATCCGCCATGAAAGAAAGTTAATTAATAAGTGAATCTCGTTTGAGATGGGCGAGGCGTTACCCTCATTATGATCACAGAAAAGTATCCTGTTAATGTCCAATGGACGTTGAATCAAAAGAAAAAAGCTAATTAATGTAAGAACTGAAGATAAATAAATTATAACGACTTTTAATTTCGATGTGTTTCAAAAATATTTCAGAAAATATTACAGGTGATAGGAATCAAAATAAATAAAATTTCAATGAATATAATATGGATCTTTTTAAATAAAGAAAGCATTTGTTAAGTGTTAAGTAAAGTATGTTAAAAACAAAAGTTTAAAACGAGTAGATCGTATTGGGCCTGTAACAGTAGTGAGTTATGGTTTTACGGTAACCTTAAGAAAATTTGAATTAGTGGGCCCCACGTACAGTGTTGACTTCAAACGTTTTTCTTCTGTGCAAACATTTTCTTATAAAAGATTGGTTTGGAGCTCTCTATTGGTAGAGGTCCCGAAGAAATTGCCCTTTTTACCCGTAGGATAACCAGGGCCTAATTTAGACGTTCGCGGGCCCTAGGCAAAATAATATTTACGGGCCCCTTTGCAAATTTTGTATTAGTACAAATAATAATCTAATGCGCATATACGAACATTATCTAATTCTCAGTGATGTTGTTAGTTTTCGGAGCAGTAGGTAATGTCATTCTTAATTATTAACCCTTAAATATGGCGCTAATAATATAGTAATTCGCAATACTAATAAAACAACGGGGCCCATAATAGGTTCTAAACATTTTAGAACCTATTATGGGCCCCAATTAATTACGGGCCCCGGGCAAGTGCCTTGCCTACCTGGTGGCAAATTAGGACCCGAGGATAACGCGCTACTGGCCTTAGCAATCGTCGACAAAATCGTAAAAACTATCGATCAATATAATTTGTTTAGAATTGCTAAAAAAATTTCGATAACTTGCCGAAATTCTTTCGTCTCTTCTCTCCACGGCCTTTTATTGAATGTTAGAACAATGCTAACATTTCTTCTTCTCTTACAAAACAATATACAGTACGTTAATTATTGTTGCAGCCGATGAAATTATCGTGACGTAACAAGCGCGTGCATGAACTTTTACGATATTTTTTTAGTTTACATTTTTCGCCTCGCGTGCATTAAGATTATATCGCTCGATATTGGATTCGCGTATGTATAAGTCGCAGAATATAGTTCTCGCAAAGGAAAACCGCAAACAAGCGAGAAATGAGAAATATCTCGGGCGAGAACGAATTTCATGCGAAATATCTGACAGAGTTTGATATTTATGAGGCCTTGCCACTTTCCGCCGAATACTCGCTTTTTTTTTTTTTTTTTTTTTTGAAGAAACGAGCGCCGTTGCCTTTTCTTGAAAAAACTGATAATCGCTTTCGACATAACTCTATAAAGAAGCATTTCTTTTAAATTACATTTTGAAATAAGAATTTTTTTAAGAAAAACGAAACGGCAAAATTTATTATTAACAGAATCGATAGAAATACTGGTCCTTGTGCTGCCGATAGGTCTAATGCTACGATAGTGGCGTAATAAATATTTCTGCCGCTTCGAGCGCTTCAAGCACTTCACGGCTTAAGGCTGTGTATACATTAGGCGTTTTTAAACGCGCGTTTTGGTAACGCACGTTTTAAAGAACCAAGAGTTCTGCACAGGTATACATACTCAAACGCGCGTTTCTGGCCAAGCGCGCATCAAACGCGCGTTGATAGATTTTTGTTAGAACGCGCGTTTTGCGGGCGTCAGCCGCGCGCTTTTAGATATATGTGCTGCCATGTTGTTGTACATTCGTTTAGTGGAGCGCACGCTCCACTAAATGGTCGTCGAACGCCGAGCTAACGCGCGTTTAACGCAACGCAAAACGCCTAATGTGTACACAGCCTAAGAGTTATATATTTTTTCCATGATTATACAGTTTGTTTTTTGTAATGTAGCACAGTGATACAAATAAATAAATTATTCACGGCAGTATACTATAGTTTTAAGCATCAAATTTAAGCGCTGCATTCTTAGCTTATGAGCCAGCTATTTTTGAATTTGAACACGCAAATTATATTTTCTAATTCTTTAAAACTTGATGGCAGATGGCCAAAGCTGTTGTTGTCAGTTTACTCCTCTGGGTTTCTGGGATCAAATCCGGACGGGTCGAATAATAGGAATTTTTTAAGGAATATCTTTATATTGATATGTCGGGCACCATTCTTTACCACTCAGCCGCCTCACTATAAATCTGGATGAATTCACGATGGGTTTGATAAGAAACATGGGATTAGAAATGGAAGTGAATCATCACAGTAATTGGCTACTGTTGTTACGTGATTTTGATGTCAGTTCCTCTAGTTCTCTCTCTTTCCTGCGGAAACACCTAGTTGCATTACGTGCCCATCAGTGGCCAAGTGGTCTTCGTATCCTGAACACTGGGTGTTCGTTCGTGGGTTTGCGCCTCGCTCGGAAGGGCTGGCTACGTGGAGTTTTCCGGGTTTTCTTCACGTCTGTAACGCCTAAATAGGGGCCAGTTTCCCTTAAAAAGTCTTCCCGGAAGGCATCTCCCCTAGGCAGATCGTGCAAGTGTTGCGTTGCCATAACTTAACAAACGAAACGAAATTGCATTACTGTAAGGTCTCGTTTTATGCGGTGGATACGTTCTACAGAAAAGTGCATAAAAAGAAATTCGCATAAAAAAAGACTTTACTTGCCTTGAAAAAGTAGGGATACGTTCCATAATTTTCTAAAATCGCATAAAACCGAAACAACGAATTAAAATTAACTTAAAACCGCATAAAAAAGGTTTGCAGAAATTAAAAGAAATAGGCTGCTTAATAAATTACTTCGAATGTCTGAAAGAAATTCATATAAAAGCTTAAAATAAACTTGTATTCAAACTTAATTCAGTTAATTTTATTGAAAAGTAATATAGTTTTACATTTTTTTTTGAATTTTTGGAATGTTTTTTAAGTCTCCAAATTTTTTAAAAATATTAAAAAATATACGG